TGAGACAATGTGGGTGATTGGGTGAATTTGGTGCGGACGAAGTGTTCTTTGAGATTTTTGTGACGTTGGTAGGCTATGACTGGTTGTTCTGGCCATACCCGTGATAAAACAGGATCGTTTTCAATATAATGCCAGTGTTGTGTGAGAATATGTGAGAGTGGGACGAGATCTGGATTGTACGGAATGACGAATGGTAATAATGTTCGTGTGTTGTTTTTGGGTGTGGTGTTTATGACTAATTGTGACTGGGTGTATGATGAGGCTTTGTTGATGTGAGGGAGAATATCTTTATCTTTATATCCTCTTCCAATAAGTGCGACCCGGAGGTTTTGTGCCTTTTCTTGGAATTCTTTGTCACTAGTGATTATCCTCCTGTATCTCAGCATTTCACTATATATTAATCCTTTTTTGCATGTTTCTGGATGGTGTGATGATTGATATAGGAGTGGCATGCCGTATGTGGGTTTAATGTAGAGTGTAGTAGCAAGTGTTTTTGTGGAGTGACATAAACTGTGGTGTCGAGGAAGTTGACACTGTCGGTGGAGTGTGAGATATCAAATTTGATGGTGGGGTGTGCTGAGTTGAGATGTGTAATGAATGTTTGGAATGATTCCTCTCCATGTGTCCACGTAAAAAATATATCATCAATGAATCTTTTCCATAGGAGGGATATGAGGTGATCTGGTGCAGATGACAGAAGTGATTCTTCTAATGTACCCATGAAGATGTTTGCAAATGATGGTGCCATTTTGGTGCCCATGGCAGTGCCATGTTTTTGTAAGTAGAGTTGATCATTGAATGTGAAATAGTTTTCTTTTAGGATGTGTGTAAGGAATTGATGTATTACTTTGCGGAGTGGACACACGCGTCCATGTTTGGTGTCTAGTGTTTCAAGCGTCGCACGGATCCCTTCATCATGTGGATTGTTGGTGTAGAGTGACTTGACATCAATTGTGGCAAGAATAGTGTTAGGTGGTAATGGAGTGGTGATGTTGAATATGGTTTGTAGAAAATGATTGGTGTCATTGATGTAGGAGGGAAGTGAACTGCATAATGGTTTGAGGTGTGTGTCGATGAATGAGGAGAGCCTGTCCGTGGGTGAATCGCATCCTGATATGATTGGTCGCCCTTGGTTATTGGGCTTGTGTATTTTTGGTAAGAGGTAAAAGATGGGTATGCGTGGTGGTGAGGGTGGCAATAGGTATTTGAGTGTTTTGTCAATGTCTCCAAATTTGAAGAGATCCTTGACATAATTGGTAATTGTATTGGTTTGTGCTGTGATGATCATGTCTGGCTGGGCCTGTATTTTTTCATAATATTTGTTGTCATTGAGTTGAGAGAGTGCCTTTTTTTCATAATCAGTCGTTGACCATATGACGATGGCACCTCCCTTATCTGCTGGTTTAATGACATATTCTTGATTACGAATGCTGCAGTTTGTAATGAATGATATTTCGTTTTCATTTAAGTTGGAACTTGGCTGATTATATGAGTTGTGCTTGAAGACCCGTAGAATGGAGTCTGCCACAGAAGCAATGAATGAACGTAAATTTGGATTGCCTGGAAGGGGTGGTCACCATGTACTTTGGGTTTTGAAAGGGTTGGAATGGTCATTGGAAAAATGTCTGAAGTGGTAGTTGTTCGACCATTGTTTGTAGGTGGGTATTGGTTGGTGTTGGGAAAAATTTGAGGCACTTGGAAAGGATGCATTTCAGTGGTGGTGCTTGTTCATGGTTGGTGAGATTTACTATGAGGTTGTTATTGGTGTGAGTTTGGATTTGTTGACGATAGTGTTTCATGTCATGTTTTTTTCTGTGGGCTCATCTGTGTGGTTGTTCATGGAGGAAAGATTTTATTGCTTTCCTTTCATGAACATGTTGTAAATTGTGGGGAACTGTGTTTCTTTCCCCTTCAGCTGTTGCTTGATGGATGAGTGCATGATACTTGCTAGAGGTGGAATTGTGGTCATTGGTGGGCGTGGTGGTGCGTGGTTGCTGGGTGGAGGTGGTACCAGTAGTGGTGGTTTGGGTGTGGCAGGTGATGGTCCCCTGTGTTGGTGGTTATGTGGTCTTTTCTGAAAAACCTGCTTTTCAGGATTCCGGGTAGGTGGTGTGGTGGTTGCTGTGGTTTTAGGGCGTTTTGATTGATTTTTGGTGTTTGGTTTGGGTGTTATTTTGCGTTTCGATGGTGGTTTGTGGTTGGATGGTGGTTTGTGGGTGCTTGCAATGTGGATAAGTGTGCTCGACAACCCTTGTGGGAGATTGTCGTTTAGGTCTGTGGAGAGTGATGAAATTTGTGCATCAATTTTTGATGATTCCCCCGAGTGGTGTTGGTGCAGGATGTTTGTGAGGTGGGACATGCAGTCCCGAATGCCAGTGTCCCATGCTTCCTTGAGCTTTGGTGACAACTGGACCCAAGGTTGTACATTGATGTTAAGACCAGCTGGTGCTGTGTGGTTTGTCCTGTGCTTGTTGAGGATGGTCAATTGTCGTTGATGGTCATTTTTGCGGTGGTTGAGTTCAACAAGTTTGTTGAATATGGTGGTTGTGTGGTGTGTGTTGGTGGGAGTGATAGGTGCTTGGGATGTGTTGGTGGTTTGGTGTGTTTGTGGATTTTGTGGATTTTGTGGTGTGATTGCTTGGGATGTGGTTGGGGATGTTAGGGTGAAGGTGTATTTGGGTGTGGATGGGATGGCGGTTGGAGACACGATTAGGGTACTGGTTTGGGTGGAAGTTGGAGTTGTATCTATGGTGTTGGGACTCTGTGGCGTGCCGGTTGGTGGATTAACAGGTGTGGTGGATTGTGGGAGAATTGAAATTGGGTTGGTCAATATGGTGGATGGTGAGTTTGATAGTGTTTTGGTGAATTGATTGTTTTCAAATTCTGTGTCTGACATGACGAGTAAATGTTGTAGCGCCTCTTTTTCAAACCCAATGTGAAGCAAGTACGAGTACTGTAAATAAATTATTATACATGCTCTCCTGGATTATCTACAAAGCCCAGCATTCAGATACAGCTCTCCTATTAGATGGAACCAATAAAACCTTTCCAATGTAATGCCCTATTGGCTGATCTGGAAAAGTATTTCCAAAACCTGAATTGTTGAAAGATTCAATTTTCTTAATTTTTTCAATTTTCTTGCAACTATGCTCACCGCATTTACTGCCAAATACACGTCAAAGCATGCTTCTGGGGCAGAGGAGGAATGAGGACTATACCGGCATGCAACGCGGTCTGGCGCGGTTTTTTACATATCGATTTCTCGCTCTGCGCCGTCATTGTTCGGTCGGCTTTCGCTGTGTTTACACTTCGAGGTTTCAAAAGATTCGGAAAAGATTTATCGAAAAAAAATTGTAAAATGGTGGATTTTTGCACTATGCATGGAAAGAAAGCTTCGTTTTTGGGTGGACACGAGCTTCTGTGTGTTCACTGTGTGTCAAAACAGCCTTTAATCTTGATTCCGGAAGAATTACCGTGTGATGAACTTGAATGTTGTGAGGTTCATGTTTATAGTTTTTAATACAGATAGTTCGAAGAATAGTCCTTTGTCCAGCTGTGGTTAACGGGATAAAAATTGATGAAATGTTCGCTGATTGCGGTAGTCCTCCACTGGTACAAATTCACTCTAGTTGTGTTTTTAAGGTGAGATGATTTTTATATGAAAATAGAAATATAAAAATGCTCCTATGTTGTATAAATACAGCAGTATTTATTTATTTCATATCATGTAGTTCTTCGACCCTAATGATCTACGGGAAGGTGGTATAAACAAAGAATATAGCAATGTTATGTTGTGGGAGTTTGACATTTCAACATCAGCAACATCCCAAGCAATCCCACCACGTGACCCAGATTGTCAAGATGATGAGCTGGATAGTGTACTTCCACCAATAGAATTACATCAGCCAACTGATTGTATAACTGTTTTAATTTACCAATAAACCCTGTTTTCCCTGACAGACATTCATACACACCGAATGATGGAAGAAGCGCCCAGTGGTAGCATTGTTGTAAAGAATGAAATGGAGGAAAGTCAACACTATTGCAACACTATATATAAATGTATTGACTACTGTGTGATGCATTGCAAGGATGTATACTGATCAACCAGTTATCTATGCTCAAATGATCAACCAGTTGTCTATTATTTTACTCTGCCTAACACCCGATTATTTTCCTGTCTAATACTAGACTATTTACTCATCAGGGGGAGAGTGCTGACACTCAATGGGTTAAAAAACATTGAAAGAAAATGTTTAGCAGAAGCTAAAAAATTTGTTTATTGGTGTCTGGTATAATACTGATATTTCTTTTATTTGTAAGGATAGAGCTGGGGAGCTTCTAGTGGTACAGTCTTGGCCCTACCCCAGTACAATACAATACTTATGGTGTAATCACTTCCCTGATTACACCATAAGTATTGTATCCCATGGACACCATCTTATCAGTTCTGCAGTTTTTTGACAAATATCTACCGTAAACCTCCTCCTAAAAGCACTGGGCTTATATTCATTCGTAAGCGATTTTTGATGGGCTTACACAAGGGGGGGGGGCTTATACACGGGGGGGGCTTATATGCAGAGGTTTATGGTATGTATGGTTTTCATGATTTTCAGTGTATAGTCTTCCCTTGCTCATCACAAATTAATAAAAAGATCACACACTACATAATTAATGTTGATAAAATTTATTTATTTTAAAATCGAAAAAATATTAACATAATATATATTGCTGTACTTAAAGATAATTAAAATGTTTTTAAAAATAAAATTTTATGCACACAATTTTAAAATATTGCACACATTCATTTCACCAGTACACATGGATGCTATATGATAAAGTATATGAAAGGTGATGCTTTTTCTCCAGCTTAATGATGTATTAAAACAATCTATAGGTATTACATAATTGGTAAACCTCTTCAATCGTAATGATTTTCTGCAACAGATATGAATTCAATGAATGCTTTATCTTCCTCAAAAATCCATTTATGAAGTTTAACTGGGAATTTCTTTGGAGGAGTCGTTTAATCTTTCTGCGAAGAAACTACAAAACAAACAGCAAAAGTGAGAGGGGCAATGTTAGTGCCAGCACAATTAGACAACGACAAAGAAACTCATGGATTTTACCAGGACTGTGTGCATGCTTCTCCAGAAAATTTGTGTACTATAGGTTTTCTGGAATGCCCAGCATTGAAAAATAATGTTGGCGTACGGGTGGATAGAAATTGCCCGACATTGTCATGAGTTTGTGAACAAGAGGTATAAAATAGAAGGAATACATCTCCTATACAGACTAGCAGAAATACTGTTTAAAGTCAATCTTAAAACAATTGCCCAATTTTTAAAGCAGAATTCTGCCCAACTAAACACTGACCGGAGGGGTTGCACCCCCCCCCCCCAGCCTCATATGCCTATGGACAGAAATTCTCCCACGCAAAAAAGCATTAAAATACAATGTTACAGTCACTATGATAATAACTCAAGCCCCCATTATCAACATATTGTTTCATTAAAAATATACAATGTTTTTGTGTAATCATACTGTATTTTTAATATGTTTGTAAAAACATTTGTTCTTTTAAATACACCTTGGCTTTGGACTCTGAAACAAAGTTCGGCTTGATGTTGAATTTTTCAAACGAGAAATTATGTTTCTTTTATTATTAGGTTTCCCTGGGGGAAATATGTACGAACATATATGCGTATGTTTCAAAATTATCATGGAAAATAGTGTTTATAGTGACAATAATTTCCTTCGCGCCCTGATGATTATCAGGCGGTCTATTCCCGCCATCGGCGATAGAATATAGCAAAAGTACTCCATTTTCAAACCGCGATTACTCGTCGGTTTAGCGGAGCAAATTCATGTTTTAAAGTAACAGTAGAAAGAATAAATCTTTCCGAATTCGATGACGTGTTTTGTTTTTATTTTCCTAAAAAAAAAGTGAATTTGCTTCTGCATTATATCAAGGTCATTTTATTGGCGTGTCCACTGACCCGGAACAAGCATAATTACAATACGTAATTAGCATAACTAAAAAACAATTCCTGTACCAAATAAGTCAAAAATAGTTTAATTAGGTTCTTAAATAATACAAATATAAAAACATACCTTCGAAAAAATGAGATATACGAAGCCAAAATCGCAATGTATTTCAACAACTTTTCGCCAGACGTTCGTTGAAAATCGTAATTGTGAATAATAATGAGACGCAATGCATTGTGGGAAGACTCTCATTCCTCCTCTGCTTCTGGGGGTACTTTGACCCTTCTGATGCAAGCATCTCATTGTTTTGACCGAGTCAAGTTGTACTATTCAGTTCTGCTTGGACGCACGCTATTGACACGCTACAAACTGAAATACCAAAGTATAAGATGAAAATCTGAAGAAACAAGCCGTTTACTAAAGTTTTCTCAAAAAACTGACATAACTCTCTTCATTGCCACAATCGTGAACGTTATAAAACATGATAACTCTCTAACATCTTCATAATGTTAACGAGAGAGAGTTACGTCAAACATAACTGTATCTCTCATGTTAGTTCAAGGAAACGTCGGGAGAGTTAAGAAATTGGGTGTAGTCGTTGGGAAAGTGGGCGTAGTTCGAACATAACTCTCCGAAATCATAACTCTCCGAGATAACTCTCCGGTTGGTAACTCTTCCTTTAGCCATACCCCTAACGTACCCCTAGCATAGGTCAACGTATACCGGCGTATGAGTGATATTTTTCATACTCTGGCATACACTAGTACGATACGCAATAGTGTGACAGGGCCTTTAAAATCGTAATAAACGGGAAAAAACGTGATATGTGAATTAAATGTAAGATGTAATATTCGGCCGCTCAATGCCGAATAATATTTATATAAAGTTCGGGCCTTCTTTTCACCTTGGAAGATGATTTGAAAAGGTTATCATATCATGTTTATTATCATATTTTTACTTCAATAATGATCATTGAAGTGAGAATATGATAAACATGATATGATAATGATCAGGTTTCAAACATGATATTGGCGACAATTTTATTTTAATATTATTAGAATCATCACTTATAGGTTAATATATAAATATAAACTTGAACGAATTTCGCGACAAATTGATACGGCTAACGAGTAACGGAGTTCCCTGGCTCGATAGATATTATTACCACAATAAGAAAGTAAGCCTTTATTTTTGGGAATAGACGGTTGGTTCCGCGGTGATGTGCACGTCTGAATACACTCGACAATATTTATTTAGTTATTTGTTTTGCGAAGCCTTTTCGAACGTATCTATACGTCTTTATGTAGGCAATATATAGTTTGGCTTTAGATATTCATAACATTTGCTGCATAGATAGATAGATAGATGATTTATTCAGTTTTAAAAGACTTTACAGCTGATAATGGCTGAATTGTGTTAAAACTTTACAATTATAAAAATTTAAGAAACCTAATGATTAACAATATTTACAATTACTAACAATAAAAGAATTCATAAACCGATCAGTTTTGGCCCTTGGAACGTTAAGTTGCCTTTTACGTCTCAGTTGGTATGAACAGTTATTTTCAGATGGTAGTAGAGGTCTGAGTTTGTGGGATTGATCTCGAGTGATCTCATTAAACAGTTTGCACGTCAAGAGCTGCCTGCGTTCGAAGAGGCGAGGCAGACCGCTTTCTTCGAGGGAATCAGTGTAAGGCATCCAAGGGTAGATTATTCTTAGAGCTTTCTTCTGCAGCCTTTCAATGTCGTCTGATAGGTACTTGGGTAGCGAGTTGTGATAAACTGGGCATGCATATTCAAAGATCGGGCGAATACAGCTGGTATAAAATTTCAGAAGTTCCTTAGTTGGAATGGCTGCTCTTTTGAGTTGTCTCAAAAGTTGGTCCTAGCAAATGAGATCCTGAGCTC